TGTGAAACTGCTGAAACTGGTGCTGTTTGGAGTTTGCAACACCAACTGACTGCCTACCGTTTGACCGCTGATGACTGGAAGGTGGTTGTTGCCATCCCGTACATGAATTACAACAGTGGTTGAACTGGACAGGCTGACTACTTCACCGTGGTCTTTGGCCTCCACCGTTAATGTAAACTTCTCAGCCACCTTAACAAAAGCAAATGGAGAGTTTTACATTAATAGGCTAATAGCATAACAATGTATTCATAGGATACATAGATCATAGTGTATCCTAGACAGTGGCTCCTACAGTAGTTAGACCATTATGCACAAAGCTTACGGGTGTTTTTTTGTATTACACGAATGGGGTTTTTTTATAATAAGGAAACATTTGTAACCTTTGTGATATTTGCAAAGAATCTGTTGCTGCTCAAAGTGAGCATGCGCATCTGCATAAATAGCTCCGTAAGTTTTACTTACTCAAGTAAAGAACTAGCCAAATCGTTCTCCTTACTCATCTTTAAAATGTTTCGTGCTCCTGACATATCAACAAAAGAGTCTCTTACCTCATGATTTAAACATCCTTTGAATGAGATGTATCCAGACTCATCAACGAAGAATTCAGTGTCTCTAACAATTGGAGACACAGATTTGATTTCATAGTGGAAGGTTGAGTTTAGTGTTCTGCTCTCGTCTATGTCAGTAGCGTGCACTTTCAAAAGATTGGAGCCTGTCGGGAAATAAACAGTTAAGGACCATATGTAATACTCAGTGTTTAATTCAATTCTAAGGAAGAAGCACACAGACACACACACACACACAGGGCTAGATAGATAAACACACAGACATGACTCACACAGACACAGTGGGGGAAATAATTATTTGATCCCCTGCTGCTAATTTAACTTTGCTCACTACATTAGAAATGAAGAGCCTCTTTTCATTTCTAATGTAGTTTTATTTTAGTGGAAAGAGACAGAATATCTACCAAAAATCCAGAAAAAACACATCACATTAAAAATTGTAGGCACACAGATTCCAATCAATCAATCAATTACAGATCCTCCTAATCTCAGCCTGCTATGTATATGAAGTACACCTATCCTCAGAGTCATTTTCTTTCATTCCAACCTCTCCACCACCACAGGCAAGACCAAAGAGCTGTCAAAGGATATCGAGACAAGAATGGGCTTGTAGTCCACTCTTGCCCCATGGAGGTGGGCTGGAATGGACTACAAGCCCATTCATGTCCCCGACACCTTGTTGAGATGGTAACAAGTGGTGATGCAATTGTTCAGCAATGGAAGCAGTAAAAAAACGACGTGCCATTCTGTCTCTCACCATTAAAATGAAACTATGATAAAAAAAAATGTATTCATTTCTAAGTGAGCCAACTTACAGAACTAGCGGGGATCAAATAATTATATGTACATATATATTATTATTATTATTATTTTTTACCTTGTGTGTTTTCCTGATCAACAGTAGTCTCATACAGAGTATTCTCAAAGCGTGGTGGGTTGTCATTGATGTCCTTTATGAAAATCTCAAGTCGTAACCTGGTAACCTGTCTGGTGTCAGTTGACACGTCCATCTTTCTGGCCTCACATATTAGCTAGACATCAAATGATACCATGAAGACTTAGTTACAATAGAAAATAAATAGTAAATATTGTGATCTATGACATGGAAAGATTATCATTAAGTGGTAAAGTTCTGTGACAAGAAGTTAAAATAATTTTTAAAGATTTTTTTTTCAGCCTTTTTTATGCAACCAAAGTAACAAAATTTGACATTTCTAGTATGAAATCAGGTAAAGCTTCTGACGATATGCTGACAGAAACGTAAAGTGTAAAAACTGTTGGTTGACAATAAGCATGAGCATGCTTAATATGCACTCTCATTAATAGTAACTACTCCACAATAACAGGTGTTCACTGTCACTATGAATAATTTGTACATGAACAGAAAGACTGTGGGATCACTACATGTTGGCGTTTAGCGAGTGTTGATTCTAACCTCAAGTTTTTGCCACTCCTCATAGTCCACAGCCTTGTGGACGTACAACATGCCAGACTCTTTGTCAATGGAGATGACTCCCATCGGCACCTCATCCACCCCTTCTCCATAGAGTTGGAAGGTTAGTCGATTTTGCCTATCAATATTCACCTACAACACAACAGTAAATGTTTGCAAACGTAAACGTCCGTTTTGTGATTTTAAATGATTTTATTGCTATGAACCTGGGCATGGTTAAATAAAGAAACGTGCAAGTATCAAAGGAATGCAGGTGTTAAATCAGCTTTAATCAATGAACTGATTATTTTTGCATTATTAGTATTAGTTTTTTGGTAGCTACATTAAAAAAGTTCACCTTAAAATTAAATTCACTGTGCATTTATATTCCACAAAAAATACATTTGAAACGTAAAAACCTATACATAAAAGTTAGTTTTTTTCTGTCATTTTAAAGTCTTTCAGTTTATGAAATTTGGAAATGGACACTTTCCGGTTAAATTTCTCACCTTGCCCAACTCATATGGGAATGGCCCTGGATAACCCTCCTCAAGCTCAAACGAGTCAGTAGTCCATTCCCTCCTGTGACGGCTCAGCAGCTCTGAGCTTCTAGCACCTGATAAACAATAAACCTGGAGGGCAAACAGTCAGTCAAAGCAGGAATGTTAGGGGATGGGCTTACGGTGAAGTTATAATTTATGCGTCTGGGGTAATGAACTTCTTAAAAGCTCACTGATGCATAGTTGGTAAACCAGTTTTGAAACGGTGCGCACACACGCATTTCTGCAGATATGCAAAGGCTTTCCGAGTATAGCGTAATAAGAGAAATGAACCTGTTCAAAAGGAAGTCCCAGATTTGTATCGCCGAAAACAAAACATTAACTCCATTTTAAGCAATTTCAGAAAACGTTTTCAAGAATTTTGCCTTTCGTAGCCATGTGATACGACAGATGAAGAGATCCATTAGGGCACGCAGTATTTGCGCACATAATTAGCATGTCTGACAAAGGAAAAGTCAAAGGAATACAAAAGTAATTGCTACGTACCAATAAAAAGAAGTAGCGCATGACCTTTGTTCACTGCAGTCAGCTCAGAGTGAGTAAGGACTGACTTCAGTCAGCAAGCCCAGCCTTCTTTCCACACCCACATATGCAACCGTAAAATCCTGTTTTTGTACGCGCGTGTGTGCGCGCACGCGTGTTTCTATGTTTGCGTGTGTGTCTGTTTACCTGCCTTTCCATGGAACCAGCTGTGACTGACAGCTGGAAATCAAAATAGGACAAACTCAGTCTAACGAATAGAAGCCGTGTTTTGTGCCTTTAGTTCCTTGACTGCTTTAGTTTGACGATAGGTTTGTTATGTGTGCTTTGTATTTAGTTCTACCTTCCTACTCTCATGGTCTGTGTTTAGCCGTCCTCCCACCTGTGTCCTCTTCCCTTGTTATATGGTGTGTTTTTGTCTCATTTTCCACTTGTCCGTTGTCCCATGCTCCCTCATGTCTGTACTGTGTGTTTTGTAGAAGTTTCATTGTGTTGGATTCTTTGTAACCTGCAGTTATTTTGTAAGAGCTCATCATTAAAGCTGCTTTTTGAGATTAAGTCTTGTTTATACTGTGCATGCATTTTGGGTCCATCTCCTTCCTGCCAATTAGCGATCCTCGACAAAAAGCAAAAACAAAAGAGTTTGTACAATGCTAAACAGCTTGAAAGTCAATATTTGTTATGACCGCTTTTATTTTTCAACACAGTCTAGTTAAGATTTCTTGTAATTTTTTTTTTTTTTTACTAGTCCTCAGGAATAGTTCTCCAGGCTTCTTGAAGATTATTCAAAGCTCTTCTTTCAATGTTGTTTTTCTCTCTGCCAAGATGATGCCGCACTCCTTCAATAATGCTGGGCTGTAGGGAGGCCAATCCATGACTAACAGTGGAAATTTTTATTAGACCTGACAACTGGTAGTCATGTGGGGTCCGGAGCTCTACAGCCTTCTAGCCTTCCACAGTTACTCCTGTGGAGAAATGTGTAGTGAACTCCACCACCACAGGCCAATACTTAGGGTGTGGACTTGAACTTGTGCCAAGCTGCTTTGCCTGGATGGATTTCTGGCTGCGGGGCTGAGGTCCCGATACATCAATGTATTTTAATTTGTTTTAGACTGATGTACTTTGACAGGGAAGAGCTGAAGCTTATTTTGACGGCTGTCGATACTGTTGTTTTGTTTATGTGTTTTATTTTACTGTCTCAGTAGGCACCTCATGTATTTATTGTATTTTAGAGTGGTTTACCCTTTTTATATATTGTTGCAGACAGTGAAGGCGCTGCATGGAAAAATAATCGTTTTTTTCTTTCCGTTTTTTGCATGCACCGTGGTGAGCTTGAGTGGAGACGGCGGTGAATATTTTATTTTTTATAGTGTTTTGTCCGGTTGGGGTTCAGGGTGAGTTGCCGTCCCTTTTAAACGTGTGTCATATGTTGATTTGTGTTTAACAGGTTCCCCACAGCGCTTATCCTGTCCCCCACGTACAATCATACAATTTTAAAGTTTTAACCGTATTTAATGAAGTAAAGCTTTTAATTGTTTTATACGGAAGAGGATTAGGGCCACTGGAAAAAAAACAAAAACAATTCTGACTTTTTTCCCTCAGAATTCTGACTTTTTTCTCAGAATTCTGACTTTTTTTCTCAGAATTCTGACTTTAATCTCAGAATTCTGAGAAAAAAGTCAGAATTCTGAGATTAAAGTCAGAATTCTTTCCTTTTTTTCCCCAGTGGCCCTAATCCTCTTCCGTAGTTTTAGGTGCTACTATTACATGTTTACTTTTATTTTGTGTTAACATTAAACCCATTTTAACTGACTGTATGGCTACAGCTCTGTCCTATTGAAGTAGGTACCTACCATGGGTCACACTGTGGTTATTAAGACAAATGTGATAAGCATTTTGGCATGTGTGATGAGATGCTGCATATATTTTATCACACTGTGGTGGGCAGTGCTCTCTATTATACTGTGGTGTTTTGGTGGTGCAGCCCGACAGACAAACACTTCTACAACACCACTAGAGACACATGAATGAAATGCAGTGTCATTAAAAACACTTGATTTTTTTCCATATTCTTCAATGATCTTTATTTAAAAATGTAATATATTTACATGTGAATAAACTTTTAAGGATTACGCCGACTGATGGATGAGTGGGCAATGAATGCTTTCCCATCCTTCTGTCATGCTCCATAGAGTGTCTGAGGGGGTTTTCCACTTGGTATCGGGATTCTATGTCCACCTTCAGAGGTGGAGTTTCCAGTGTCTCACCTGGGCCTCATCTGCAAACAATCAGCAGGAGGGCTTTTTAAACCAGCGCTGTCTGCTACTCCTCGCCAGTTTGTTCTGCTATCTACAGTGGTAACTAGGCTCCACCTCTGCTCCAATTCTGGCTTCCCCATGTTTAACCTTGTTTTCCCTGTGTTTAGATCTCCTCTGACAACATACTCGTCCAGCAACTTCTTCTCCTCTGTTGCAGAATTCCCTTTGGATTGTTCCCATCACGACCCAGGTGATCAGTCTCTCCATAGCTTTTCCTCTGGTACCTGCTCTCTGCTGACACTCCATCTCTAGCCACATTCTCCATTCCTTCTCCTTAAATAAAGTCTTATAAATAGTTTAACCATGTGCTTTGAATTTGCATTTGGGTCTAAGCGCCAAATCACAACAAAAGTCGCCTCAAGGCGTTATATTCTAAGGTAGAGCCTACAATAATATTTACAAAGAAAGACCCAACAATCAAATGACCCCTTATGAGCAAGCACTTTGGCGACAGTGGGAAGGAAAAACTCATTTTTAACAGGAAGAAACCTCCAGCAGTACCACGGTCAGGGAGGGGCGGGCATCTGCTGCAACCGTTTGGGGTGAGAGAAGGAAGACAGGATAAAAGACATGCTGTGGAAGAGAGACCGAGATTAATCACAAGTATTATTCAATACATGGAGGTCTGTTAACACATTTCAATTGAGAAAGGTGGATGAAAACGAAAAACGCGATGCATCACGGGAATCCCTCAGGAGCCTACGCCTTGCAGCATAAGTAAGGGAGGATTCGGGTTCACATGAGTTGGCCATCAGCCTACTAAAAGGATACTGAAAAAACGTGTCGAAATAGTGTTAGTTGTCATCACTTGTGCTGGTGGACTCAGAAATTTGCAAACGCAAGTATTCCTCTTCTGCCTCAAAATCCTCTCGGGACCACTTCCTCGAGCCTCCAGTTTCATGGTTGTCATGCTCTTCAAGTTCATCCCCAAAAATGTTCATCACGACTGGTCTCAGAGTGAGCATGCACAGTTGAGCTTGTCCCTGAATCAGAGTTTGCAAGCCTGAGTGTTTTGCTGTTCTCTTCTTCATCTACACTCTCTGGGCTTTTTCGTGGATCCACCAGGCAGTGGTTCTTCTTTTATTACCTGCTGATTGATGTCCTCATCAGCAATATTACCAACATGAGAACAACCCTCGCTATCAGTGTCACAGTCAGAAATGAAGTCGGAGTCATCATCAGAAAACTCCTCGCACCATCTGATTCTTTTGTTCTTCATCCATCTCTCTAAACCTCCTCCTGGATACACCTGGCCAAGGGTCCTCTTCTGGGATGTACTGGTGAACATCCACACAGTCTTCAAATGCCTCATCAGAATCATCATTTTCAATGACAACAACAACAACAACAGCATTTTGGCTGGTGTAGACTCACAACTTTGGAATGGACAAAATGCATACAGCATAAATAAAACTAATTAAAACAATTCTTTTTATTCAAAACCGACGTCAGGATTTGGGTTGTGAGAGCGTCTGTGTTGAATGGAGAAGCTACATCCCATGTTCACTCTGATGCCTCTGTCTTTCTAAATGGAGGGACATAAACTGTGTGTGTGTAAGCGTGTAAAAACTGCAGATACTAAGAATAACAGCAACAGTATTTTGTCTATATCCACCATTGTAGAAATTTATCTCATGTAAACAATAACGTGACCACAGCGTGATGTCAAAAACGGCACACACATACTCAGACGTTGCCTGAGTAAATTTCGTCCACACCTAAACGCAAAAATGTAGTTTTCAAAAATCTCCACCCTGGCAAGAGTTTTTAAAAATGTCACCTTTCAGTGACCCAAAATGCAGTTTACGTGTGGACGAAAGGCCCAAATGCATAGAAAAAGCTGCATTTTGAAAAATACCCGTGTACATGTGGACGTACTCAGTTTCTCAAAAAATCTCTCAGAAATTCTAATAGTTTGTTTGAGAAAAAACTGAAATTTCAGCTTACTTTAGTTCTTGGATGGTAATAATATAAATTACACAGCAGTTAATCCTCAGGAGTAGAAATTTCACTGAATAGTCGTCTTCTTTCATATGGTTGCAGTGTCTCTTCAGATTTGTGTTGATATGCTGATGTTTTCATTCAAAAGATGTTTAAATGCTCACTGCAGTGATGTCCCTTAAGCTTCATAGACTGCAGAATACATATAGATTCTTTTTACTTTTAAGTTGTATGCTCAGATTTTGATATCTTTTATATGGAGACAAAAAAAAAATACTCAAAACAATTAAAGAAAAATAAAGCAGTCAATGTGTTATTTAAATTTTTCATTTATTCTAATAGTTACTGTAAAATTCTCCACTAAGAGATTCATCTTGGACTTCTTGCGGGATTAAAGCCAAAAAATTAGTACACACACAACATATAATTCATTTCTTTATACTTGTAAGGCAAAAATGAAGAGACTGCGCTGACAGTCAAAAGAGACGAAGAGGAACTCAGATACCAGCTATGCTGAAGTTTTCACAGCATCACTTGAGTTTTGGAGGTAAAAGGCAAGCAAGGACCACGTCAGGGTGGAGTTTACAGATTATTTTTTCCACTATGAAGATGCAGGTTTTGGGTAGTGAGATCATCTAATGTCATATAATCTTTAGCTTGAGATCCAGTATTCAAGGCAAGGCTGGATGGTCCATTTGGTAAAGTAAATCCGCTGGGCATCTTTCTTCGCCTTTAGACAATAATTCTGATGGCAAAAGAACCAAACGGGACAGGCAAAAAAAAAGAACAAAGAAAAAGAAATAAAAAAGAGAGAGATCCATTATTCAGGTGCCCAGTGATCAAAAGTTGATAGCCAGAAGGGGGAGACATTGAGCTACAAAGTGAGCTGTGTAGGGTGTAGGTGAGGTTTTCTGTTCTGTTGTTGGGTTACCACTTCTTAATTTCACTGCACTTCAGCATGTGACAGTTCACTATTAGCGATGTCTGATTGTCAAAGTATTGATTAATTTTGCTGGAATCCTTCACTTGCCCCTATTCCTTATTGTATCCCTCCATGTATTTTTTGACCACATTAATCTCACCTTCCTCTGTCTTTTTCTCACACTGCTGCTGGGACTACGGTCCCTCCTGCTGCATTTCACCATGCTTGAGCCCATGAGACCTGGTTACCGCCACTTCTTCCACACTAAACTCTGTTCTAAAAGCTATGTAGGCAAACAGTCAAGGTAGGGCCTGATTGTTTTAATTGATTTGATTAAGCAATCCTTTGACTGTAATGAAAATGAACCACTTGCAAAAAATAAGCATCAAAATATTGATGAGCATATTTTCCTTTTAGCAAATTCCATTAACAAAACCCCCCAAATAATTTCTCTGAACACTCTTCCAACAACCACACCAACCCATCCCACTGTACCACTGCATTACATGTACTAAATCAGTACTCATCCAAAGATTGATATGCAAAGGAAAGCTGTCAGTGCTCTTATTAAAATGATTTTGTTTGAGATATCACATGACCCTATTTTCCTTCTTACTTTGCATCATTGTAATAAAGCTGAAAGCTGAATCCATTTTAATTGTGAGCAAGTACAGAGCAGTAAAAATAAAATAAAAATAAAAACAACAGAAAAGATGCAGAAGCAGAAAACAAACAAAAACAAAAAACACCACGTGTAGAAAAAATAAGCCAAGAAACCAGAGCTGGTTAAAGGCACTCAGATGTTTGCATGTTAAATTTGTAACTCCTGGTATGTTATATGTCAGGGTGTGTGGCTGGTGGGAGGTGGACCCAATTTGGAAGACTCAGAAGAGAAAGAGTGAACTCAAAACCAAGTTTTATTTCTGGTAAATCACAGAAAAAAACCTACAACATACAACAACAATCACCAAAGTAAAACAGGAAGACAGACACAAATGAATGGGGACGTCATGGTTCTGGGTTGTTGACCCAGTGTTTGTGTTTTGGACGTATGAATCTTGTTTGTTTATTGTTTTGATCTTGAACAGTGGGTTATAGTTCTTAGATTCGTTTTCTTGTGCTTATGAGTTTTCTGATTATGTTGTTTATGCCTTGTGATTCAGGTTGATTGTAGGTTATCAGACTTCCTTTAGTGTTCCCTTTTCTGTCTTGTCTTCATGTTTATTTATCTCTGTGTCCCTCGATCTCCCTCTCTCTGTCTCCAAGTTCTTAGTGTTTCCAGATTTTCCAAGTGTTTTTCTAGCTTAGTTTTTCACGATCTGTTCCTTTTTCAGTTTGGTTTTCTTGGGCGACCGTGGTTCAGGGGGTTGGGACGCTCATCTGTAACTGGAAGGTTGCCGGTTCAATCCCCCAGCTCTCTCTGTCCTGGTCATTGTGTCCTTGGTCAAGACACTTTACCCTACCGCCTACTGGTGATGGCCAGAGGGGCTGATGGCAGCCTCGCTTCTGTCAGTCTGCCCCAGGGCAGCTGTGGCTACAACTGTGGTTTGCCTGCACCAGTGAGTGAATGAATAGTGGAATTGTAAAGCACTTTGGGTGCCTAGAAAAACGCTATATAAATACAATCCATTTTTATTATTTTTGTAATGTTTGACAACCAGCCTTCTTTTCTCCGTGTGTCTGCATTTGGATTGTCCCCTCAGCTCCACATGCTGCCCGCAGATTGCGACAGCGGAGAGAAGACAGACTTCGCACATGAGACACAGGAGGACAAAACACAGACCTGAACAGAATACACTGAACACTATTTATACAAGAAGCACTGAGGCGGCTGGGAGATAAAGCAAAAATATAAACAATACAAATTATAATACCTCAAACACAAATGATCCTCAAAACCAAAACAGAAACCCTGAGTCCAAAACCCCATAACACCTTTAAAACTACCGGTAAAAACACATCTATCGTGGCCACAGATGCTCGAGATTCAACACAAAAGCAAGATCTCTTTTTTTTTTTAAAAAGACATGCTTTACCTATCATGACTAACTCCCAGTATGTATGTGGTGTAGGGAGTTTTAGGAGCTCTTCAAACCTGATTACTGTGGACACCACATAATCAATTCATTTTTATTTTGGCATTAGGCACAGCTCTGTGACAAAGACCCCACAACCTCCTTAATCTCCAGCCTCACCCCAAAAAATGCCTTTTTACGAGGACCACCTGGGCCAAATGCCACTGAGCAGAGAGCGCTCCCAAAAGTTGGTAGAGGTAGACTCTGAAGGGTTTCAATTTTCTTAAAACTGTTGTAAATACTGTAGTTTTCTACTTGTTTAAGGGGGACCACCTTGAGTTCCACCCTTTGCATGAGCACTCAGTGAAGATGATTTTTGGGGTTTTTTGTTTATCCCAAATGCAAATTGGCATTTTGGATCCTAACATGAAAGTGACGAACAATTATAATCCAGCAACTGTGCACTTTTGTTTTTCTTTCCTCATTTTGATATGAAAAATGAAGATGCATGTGGCACAGTTATTAAACACATGTGATTAACAATAAAGCTCTCTGGTAGTATATCTCATGCAGAAGTGGTTGCCACAAACCCTTTTTAATTAACCCCAAATCTGAATGGAATAAAGGGATTAAATGCCTTCTTCCTCACACTTGAAACAAAAAATGTTTGCTACGTAACAGGATATCCTGAGTACTGTATTTGTGTCGGGCTGCATATAGAAGCCAGTTGGTGAAACTTTGGACCCAGATCTTTCAGTGTGTCCTGAAATGAATTCTCTTCCAAAATGTTGATTGTCTCCAACGCTGAGTTGGTTTCTAAATTCCCCTCCACTGCATAGATGTGAAGCTCATCGTCTCCTAAGTCCACTTCTTTCTTCCAGAGTGAGGTCACTTTCTGAAAATTTTGCAACACGTAAATTATAATTTTTTGAATCATACATGCTCATATGTTTTGAATAATGCAGCACAGGAGATGTAACTTACTGAAGAGATTAGGCACTGAACCAGTTTAACCTGCATGTCATTAGACTCCGTAGCACAGCTCACGGTTTGTGTTTGGAGGACGTTCATATTGCTCATGTCTTCAAACTGCACACAAAAGGTTCACATTTCTTTGTCTCTGATTTCAAAGTAAAAGATTACAAACACAAATCTCTGGTGTTCTACCTGATGGCTGCTGTCAAAGCCAGTGGTTATTGGAGAATTCCAGTTTGACTGAAATTTAAAGAACAAAAATATATAGTTATTATTTTAAGATCCATTTGTAAGTCATCCTCGATCTTCTGTGGGTGTGTACAACCTGGTTCCCAGTGGAGCTGTATTGGCTGCATTGGCTTTCTCTTCTGAAATCCCCAAAGCGTGGGTGGATGGACCTCTGTGTAAAATCCTGTTCAAAAGGATGACAAGAGCAGGAGGTGATCTATAGAGGATTCTGTTTATCACACTCTCAAGGGATGCTTCACAAAAGTACATGCTCCATGGAAGGATGACCTACCCTAGCTTGTGAGCGTAAACTCCGAAAACTGCCAAAAGTCTGAACTTCATTCATACCCACCCTTGCTGAATATCTCCCATTTCTCATCCCATTCAGTGGAATATGGAAATTAGATTGATTATATTGCTCCATACAAACTGGTTCTTCCATAATAGTGGAAAGAATCTAAAGAAAGAGAAATGGTTTAATGATATTTCCCTTAAAATGGGTCATTGGCATGGATGCAAATGTTTCTAAACAGTGACCTCGCAGTTGTCTCCTGGTGCCTCAGTGTTTGATTGGAGGAGGATTCCTCCTGAACAATCTTCAGGCTCCATAGT